TGCAATGATATGTGAGAAGAGGGTAGCGAGTAATGGGTAGTGAGTAGTAGTGAGTGGTGCGTAGTGAGTAGTGAATAGTGAGTAGTGAGTAGTGAATAGTGAGTAGTGAGTAGTGAATAGTGACTGGTGAGTTGAGAGTAGGGAGTAGCGATCAGTGAGTAGTGGGTGGTGAGTATGGAGTTGTGCGTAATGACGTGTGAGTGTCGATTAATGGGTAAGGAGTACGGGGTAGGGAGTAGTGTGTAGCGAGTAGATCGTAGTGATTAGTGGGTAGTGAGTAGTGGGTGGTGAGTCGTGAGCATTGACTAGCAAGTACCGAGTAATGAGCAACGAGTAGTGAGAAGTGAGCAGTGGGTAGTGAGTACTGTGTAGGATGTAGCGAGTAGTGAGGAGTGAGTATTGTGTAGAGACTAGTGAGTCATGAGTACTGAGTATTGAGCCGTGTGAAGTGAATAGTGCGTAGGTGGTCGTGAGTAGTGACTAGTGAGTAGTGGATAGTGTTTAGTGAGTAGCATGTAGTGAGTAGTAGTGGGCAGTGAGTAGTGCGCTGCGATAGTGAGCAGTGCCTATAGAGTTGTGAGTAGGGAGTAGTGAGTAGGAAGCAGTGACTAGTGGGTACTGGGTAGTGGGTTGTGAGTATCGAGTACTGTTTGGGGCTGGGGTCACGGGTTGGTTTTAGGGCCTGGGGTTAGGGTTAGGGGTGGTAGGGGAGAGGCGGGTTCTGGAGTCACGCGGTGGCGTGGCGAAAGGGGTGGAGGGTGGGGGACAGGGGGGGTCAGAATTTCGAGCCCAATGGGGGGGGGGCGGGTCGGACCCCCCCCCCGATTGAAGGGGACGGGGAGGGAAAGGGGGTTCCCCGACGACGGACCGGGGCAGGGGGGGGGGAAGGGTTCGTACCCCCCCCCTTTGGGTTATCCAGCGGCGCGCCCTCTATCTTTGCTCACCCCAGCGTTGCAAAGCTTTGCCAGGTGGCCAATGTGGGCTCTGCACTAAATGTCCGCGGCCTGCCGTCTACCTTCTGGCACTTCTTCACAGCGAGTTCCCCCGCAAAGATATCAACCCTGCGCACACGAATCCATTGGGTAATCTGGCGATCACCGTGGTATCAAGAGGAGAAATGCGCCCTTGCCTCACTGCTTCGCCGTCCTTCAGCCTTCCACCTTTCCCTCCATGCCTCCCCCTTTTCCCCCCATCTTCCATCCGCCGCCTCTGACCTGCCCCTGCCGCCTCCAGGTGCTCTTGGGCTGGCTGGTCTTCCGCCACCTCACGAAGCCGCGACGCGTCGGGATGCCGACCCCCCCCCCCCTTGCCAGCTTCGGTCGGACTCAGGGGCATGCGAGCGGGGTCGGCGGGTGAGCTCATCGTCGCCAGGCAGGGCTCAAGGAGGAGGAGGAGGAGGACGCGGAGATGGAGGAGGAGGAAAAGGAGGAGGAGGAGGAGGAGGAGGAGGAGGAGGAGGAGAGAGTCCACGTAGCCTTTAGTCAGTCAGGAGGAGGAGCAGGAGGAGCAGGAGGAGGAGGAGGAGGAGGGCGAGGAGGAAGACGGGGAGGAAGTGGAGGGCGAGCAGAAAGAAGAGGAGGAAGTGGATGAGGAAAATGAGGAGGAGGAGGAGGAGGAGGAAGTGGAGGAAGTGGAGGAGCGCATGTAATCCATCCTTGTTCTCCTGGATATGGGCGACAGCGGGCCGCCAGGCAGCCCATGTTGATGGACAACGAGATGGGCGAAGGCAGCTCGCGGGAGGGGCTCGGGGCCGGTCATGCGAGGGAGGTCGAACGGGTCATCACGGGCTGCAGCAGGAGGACGAGGACGACGCCGCCGTCGGCCACCATCCTGGTTCGGAGCGGCGTTCTCCTGGCTCGGGCTGGCGCTCTCGCCTCGGCGCCGGCCACGCACCCCAGGCTCGGAGCGGGGCCCGCAGAGGCTGCAGGGTCGGGCTGGAGGCGGGCCGAAACGAAACGGCGTCAGACATGGTCGGCCGCGCGTGAGCCTCTCGATGGGGGTTCACCAGCGGGGGTCGGCCACGCGCAGAAGGGGGGCAGAGGGAGGGGGGAAGGCCTCTTAGAAGCACCCCTGCTTCTTAGGAGGCGCGGGCCTTCTCTGCAGGTGTAAGGCTGGCGCCTCCTGAGAAGCAGCCTTCTTCGAAGAAGCCTTCCCCCCTCCCCCAAACTCCTTGTGCGCGCCGCCGAAGCGGGGGCTCGGGACGCCTGAGCGGGCACGAGCGAAAGTTATCCATCCAACATGGTCCACATCGACGGGCAGTGCGGGTAGGGCTCACATGCGGCTACCTGCGATATGGACGAGGAGCCATCGCCAGAAGCGGACAATACGCGTCGGACTCTACGGTGTGGTCGATTGAGCTGTTGGTTGGCAATGTGTTTATTCAAAGTTCCAGATGTAAGGTGATTGCGGAAAGCTCTGAAACCATTCTAGCGCACAATTCTAGCGCAGCATTCTAGCGAGAGCCGCGAAGAAGTCAGAAACATGTGATACCTCTTGTTCCTGGGCTCCCAATGAACTCAAGATGTGGCACGCGCTTTAGATGATCCGACTAAGCCGTGCCATGTGATAAGTGTTGTCTCCACGGCCCAGGGAGCCGCAACACGTAACGCCCCTCTCCCGCATATCTCAGAGGGTATCCCCTGGCGGAGGGGGCCTCTCAAGAGCCTGCTGGAGGATTCCGTGGGAGCTGATGGGCCTTTTGGGAGCTCGCCGGGGGACGTCGGGCAACGCTTGACTTTGGTATAGCTTGGGAGCGTCCACGATCCGTCGAGCAGGCATCTTGGGGCCGCCATGGGCTGGTCGTTGGCCACCTTGGAGCTGGCTTGGGGAGCCATTGCGTCGTCTTGGGACATTCGTTGATCCGCCTAGCAGCTTCCGCAGCGCCGCTCGGGGGTAGTTCCCGGGGCATTGTTTGGCATACTGTATGCTCGTGAGACGGAAAATCGCGACAGACAAAACATGTTGGGACCCCAAGGTTATTCAATCTTTTTGGCTGCTCTCGGCTGCCTCCTATCGGGATTCAAAGGGCGCCCCTAGCGGATTCTCCAGCGCCCTTTGGGGGTCTTCGTCGGGGTTGTCGCGTCCCTCCCGAAGCAATGTGGGGCCATGTTCTTGGCTTTCCCTCGCCAACTTGAAACCGCTCAAAGGACGTTGGGACGCCCGTGCAGAATCCGGAAGGCTGGATGTTCGCGGATAGGCTTGGGGATCGGGGAATGGTGCATTTGCGTTATTTCGTTACGCTAAGTGCCGCATTGCTGGCGAGTAGGAATGGCTTGCGAGACTCACTATAGGTTGGGACCGTGGGGTTGCGAGCATGGACGAGAATTATATTGTGTCGCGCGCAAGAAAGTGACCGCGAAGCCCACCTCTTGCGTTTGGCACGATTGCTGCCATCTCAAAAGCACCACGCGCCCAGAGCAGGAGCAACAGTTCAAGCTTGTCTGCTTACACTTCGCGAGCAGCTCGGCTCAGATTATAGATCTGGTGACCATTCGTTAGGATCTTCTTGGATCATCTCCCAGTTAGCTGCCAGGAAGGAGATTCTGGAGACCGAAAACCCTGATATGCGCCGATCATGTGACTTCTTCACTCCGCGGTCCCAGAATTTCCGACCGCTTCCCCGCGGGGCGTTTTCTCCTCCTTGATACGTTTTGAATGGTCCCGGGGCCCGAGAAGAGTCCGAAATGGAGGCAAAACACCGGGATTGACAAAATCATGGAAGCGCGATCCACCGTCGGCTGATTGAAAAAAAAACCACACACACACACACACACTCCAGGAAGTCGGAGGCGGGGGGTCAAACTTCACCCGTCTCTTCCCGGGAACTTGGGTGGGCGCGGCGGGGGGAACAACCCCCCTGCCCGGAAATCATAGGGAGGGGGAGGGGGGAAATCCCCCTTTGCCAAGAGCTCCCTTCCCCCCGGTTCGAACCCGGGCGGGCGAGGAGGAAAACGATTCCTTCCCCGCCCGAAATGTGATCCGATGTTGGGTTTCGGAGGAGCTTTGCTTGAGATTTGTTTGAGCTTTGTTTGAGCTTTGTTGGAGCTTTGCTGGGGCTTCGTTGGATTATTTGCTGGAGATTTGCTGGAGCTGTGTTTAGGAGTTGATGGAGCTTTGTTGGAGCTTTGCTGGCGCTTTGTGTGAGCTTTGTTGGAGCTTTGTTGGAGCTTTGTTGGTGCTTTGTTGGGGCTTCGTTTGTGCTGTGTTGTTGCTTTGTTGGTGCTTCGTCGGTGATGTGTTTGAGCTTTGTTGGTGATTTGTTTGAGTTTTGTGTGAGCGTGGGTGGACCTTGGTGGAGCTTTGTTTAAGCTTTGTTCGGGTTTTGTTGAAGCTTAGTTGGAGGTTTGTTTAAGCTTTAATGGAGCTGTGCTGGAGCTTTGTTGGAGGTTTGTTGGTGCTTTGTTGGTGTGTGTTTTTGGAGCTTTGTTTAAGCTCTGTAGGAGCTTTGTTGGGGCTTCGTTTCAGCTGTGTTGGAGCTTGATTGCTTTGTGTGAGTTTTGTGTGAGGTTTGTTGGAGATTTGTGTGAGCTGTGATTGGAGCTCCGTTGGAGCTTTGTTGGAGCTTCCTTTCAGCTTTTTGTGAGCTGTGTTGAAACTTTGTTTAAGCTCTGTTGGCGTTTTGTGTGAGTTGTGGTGTAGCTTTGTCTGAAATGTGTATTAGCGTGGGTGAACTTTGTTGGAGCTTTGTTGGAGTTTCGCTGGAGCTTTGTTGAAGCTATGTTGGAGTTTGGTTTGAGCTATGTTGGAGCTTTGTTGGAGATGCGTTGGAGCTTTGCTGGAGCTTTGTTGGAGCCTTATTGACATTTGTTTGTGCTCTGTTGGAGCTTTGCTGGAGGTGTGGTTGGGCTGTGTTTGAGTTTTGTTGTTTGAGCTTTGGATGATCTTTGTTTGAGCTTTGTGTGAGCTTTGTTTGAGCGTTGCGGGAGCTTGTTGTCAGCGAAGCGGGCGAGGCTGGCCAGCACAACGCGGACGATTAGCCCTTCCGCCCTCCCTTCGGGTTCGAAGTTCCGGTCTGGGAGAGGGCCCCGCGCCGAGGGCGCAGGGCCCCGCACAGCCCCCCCCCCGTCGCGAAAGACAGCGAATCGGGTTGGGAGGAAGGGTCTCGGGACAAGCGATCGTCGGGACGATCGAAATCGGTACGGGAACAACTTGTTGTTGGGCATCGTACCCACCTTCTTCGTGCCCATTTCGGGTGTCCAGAGATCATGCCTCGAGGGGGTTGGGAGGCTGGGGCTTCCCAGACCCCCTCGAGGCATGAAAAATGCAGACGGGGGGGAGTGCGCTCTCTTCGGCCTCTGGGGGCCCTCACCAGGCCGCGGGACTGTCAGACAAATATTCATGATGAAAAGCCGGTCCCAGAGAATGAGTCGAGACCTCTAGGGGTCGACGCTGTGAACAAATCATGACGTCGGGGGTCTGGGCTGGGAGAAACGATCAGGTCATCTGAACTGCCGCGTATGTCGAAGGTGCTCATAGCGCAGTCGTGCCATGTGTCCTCCCAGCCCCTTCTGCCCAGCACGATACTTGTCTCTCCAGACCCTGGGCCCCGCGCCATGGCTGGGGGCACGGCGCTGGCGCTCGGCTCGACGGCCCCGGGCCGCCAGCTCGGCCACTGCGCCAGCGCGGAGGGGGGCGCCTCGCCTCGGGGCCCACGCAACGGGGGTCAGCGCTAACTCGAGTAGGAGGTCGACTGCATAATCGAGTTACCCCAGAGCTGAAATGTCCGTCGAATCTGCAAGCAACTGCGTGGAACGCGCGTAGATCTGCGAGCATCCTCGACGAACACATCATTTTTGGACGTATCGATTTTGGAATCGATCTCCTATTCGACTACCAGGGGTCAGCCAATCTTCTCTGGCTGATCTGGATTTGGGAGCCACGTGGGGCCGATTCCCCTTTCCGACCCGAGCTTGGCATATACCATAGCAACCCGCAGATGCGGATGAGAGTGAGGGGGCGGTGTGGACGTCGGCAGTTTGCGAGACTCGGGAGAAGCCCGCCGCAGGCACCACAATTTTCACAAATTATACAACCAGCCCGCCGCAGGCGCCGATTTTGGGTCGCCAGGTTTGTCGCGGGGTGGGTGCGCGGGGTGGGTCGTGGGGGGGACGACGACGACGACGACGACGACGACGACGACGACGACGACGACGACGACGACAACAATAACAACAATTCTTTACGCTTCGCGCATCCCCACCAGCCCATCTCAAAACAGCAACTCTTGCGAAGCATGCCGACAGTCGTGTTTTTCAGGCGTGTTTCCGCCTGCCCCCGCATATCTCCCCTGTTCCTCCTTCCTCCCGCCTCCTTGTACATCCTCCTTGTGGTGGGAGCGGGAGAAGGACGAGGCGGAGGAGGAGGGAGAGAAAGCGCTCCTCGTGGTTTGAGTCGTTTGGGGTTTCTCGTCCTGGTGTGAGTCGTTCGGGCCCTTCTTCCTGGTGTGAGTCGTTCGGGCTCTTCGTGGTGTGAGTCGTTCGGGCTCTTCGTCCTGGTGTGAGTCGTTCGGGCTTCTCGTGGTGTGAGTTGTTCGGGCCCCTCGTCCTGGTGTGAGTCGTTCGGGCCCCTCCTCCTGGTGTGACTCGTTCGGGCTCCTCGTGGTGTGAGTCGTTCGGGGCCCTCGTCGTGGTGTGAGTCGTTCGGGCTCCTCGTGGTGTGAGTCGTTCGGGCGCCTCGTCCTGGTGTGAGTCGTTCGGGCCCCTCCTTCTGGTGTGAGTCGTTCGGGCTCTTCGTGGTGTGAGTCGTTCGGGCCCCTCGTCCTGGTGTGAGTCGTTCGGGCTCCTCGTGGCGTGAGGCGTTCGGGCACCTCGTCCCCTTTTGGGGCGTCTTGGGGGCCTCTTGGCGGCCCCAGGGGCTTCGAGGAGCGTCTGGGGTGCCTTGGGGGAGCCTCTTGGGGCCTCTTGGGAGCCTCTTGGAGGCGGTTTGGGGCGTCTTGGGGGCCTCTTGGCGGCTCCAGGGGCTTCCAGGAGCGTCTTGGGTGCCTCGGGGGAGCCTCTTGGGGCCTGTTGGGGGCCTCTTGGGAGCATCTTGGGGGCCTCTTGGAGGCCTCTTGGGGGCTCTTGGAGGCCTCTTGGAGGCCTCTTGGAGTGGTCTGGGGGGAATATTGGGGCCATCTGTCGGGCGATCGATCACAGATGGGGGGGGCATTTTCCCCCCCCCCCCCCCCCCCGTCGGGGCCAGAATCTTCGTGAGGGATGTCGAATTTTAGCCCTCCAAGGAGTGGAAAAAGACCCCTCCGGCGACCCGCGGTGGGACCTCTCCGGGCCCAGGGGGAGGGGGGAGGGGGAGGGGTAAACCCCTCCCCGAAGGGGAAGAAGGGGGGTTGAGAACAGAGCGGGCTCTCTAAACCACTCACGCCCAAAGGGCTGGTGGGATTTTAAGACTGTTCGCCCTGGTATGCTCGAGTGTCCAATAACGCGTATTTCCCAAACCCTCGATACCCACCCTCTTCGTCTTCGATCGAACCCCTTTTGGGGGGTATACCTTTCTTCCCTGCAGGCCGGGCCCCGGCAAGCGGCGGGGCGGCCGCGGACCGTCGGCCTGGCCAGCGGCAGCGCTGATCGGCGGGGCGGCCGCGGACCGTCGACCCGACCCCAAGAGGGACGGACAGGGGCCGACTACGACGACGATGACGACGACGATGACGACGACGACGTCGAAGACGACGGCGACGACGACGACGACGGCGACGACGAGCGAAAACGAGAGCGAGAGAGAACGACAGCAGGGCCACGAAGGGTACGAAGTAGGCCACGAAGGGCGACAGCGGGGACACGAAGGGGATGCGTTTGGGGCCACGAAGAGCGCGAACGAGCGGGGGCCACGAAGTGCAGATAATGCGGGGCCACAAGAGGCAACTATGGGGCCACGGAGGGTAGCAACTGGGCCACGTAGGACAGTGAGGGGAGCACAAGTGGCGACAGCGGGGCCACGAAGGGCATGCACATGGGGCCACAACGGGCGCGACTCCTGGGTGCCTGGGTGTCGGGAGCGCGGCGCTTGGGCAAATTGCAAGGGATTCCAACGCAAGGCCATTCTTCAGTAAGTTGCAGGCAAGTCTCCAGCGAGATCACGACTCCAGAGCGCCGGCAGAGCGATTCCTGAATAAATTGAAAAGAAGTCCCAAGCGAGAGCGCGATTCTTGTATGAAATGCAAGGAAATCTCGGGCGGGAGCGGGGGTTCTGGCTAAATTGTAAGGAAGTCTCAGGCGGGAGCCGCTGTCGTTGTAACCCGGGGGCCAGGGGCGTAGTTTGAGCAGGAAGAGCTTCCCTGTCCAAAAACAGGGTGCGAGCGTCGAGGGACACTCTTTGATTGAGAAAAAACAGTATGCACCGGTGGGGGGGTCAACAATAATTATTCTTCCGAAATGAGAATTCAACAACACCAGCAACAACAACATTAACAACATTTACAACAACAACAACAACAACCACAACAACACCAACATCAACAACAACAGCAACAAACAGCAACAACAACAACAACGACGCAACAAACAGAACCCTTCACTACGGATTTCTATTTGAGCTACGCACCCGGGGACAATGAATGACCGTTCGGCCCTCTCACTCTGATTAAGCGGCCTCCTCCTCTTCCTCGCTCCCCGATCCCCCCCACTCCCTGCTTACCTCCTCCTCCTCCTCCGTAGCCATTTTGGCTCAAGCCATTTTGGCTCAAGCCATTCTGGCTCAAGCCTTTCTGGCTCAAGTAAAACATTTGTCAAGGCAGCTGGCCGTTCAGCTCCATTCCATAACAACGCTCCAGGATCCGCCACCGCTGCCCTGCCTGCGGTTCCGCTCCATATCCGAACGACGAAAGTCACGTGGTGGTCATACCTCCTAACATTAATTCGGTTGCAGATCGTGGGATTGGCTCTTCTCTCTCTTGGTATCGGTCAGGCGGTCCGCGGCGCTCAAAAGCTGAACTCTTTCGCATGCACTCAGACAGCGGCAGTTCTAGAAGTGAGTCCAAAAGCAGAAGCCAAGCCGGTGATCGACGTGACCGCAGAGACCGTCGCCGTGCCGAATATCGTCGAGACCAAGACCGCGACCGACGTAGAGATTCGCATCGCCGCCGCGATCGAGACCGACGCCAACAGACTTCATCTTCTGAAGAATGCCGATCGCGCCACACACGGACATAGTGGACGTGCTAAAGGACCAATCGCACGTGGTGGACCCCCTCAAGGATTTCACTCAGCAGCTGACCAAGTAGCATGGGAGCGCGGAGTTCAGGCAGACTGGGAAGCGGCAGCAACATTTCCCTCTCAAGAGCAGCAAGCTCGCAGGGCTCAGCAACAAGAACGGTCAGCTGAACAGCAGGCCTTGCTTGAACATGCAGCAGCAGCACCTACATGTCCGTCGCAAGAACAACAACAATGGCTTGCTCATCAGGCAGCTCAGGCTGCTCAACCGCGCTCTCCTATTACATCAGCACCCCCTGCCGCAGCCGCGCCAGGAGTCCCAATGGCAGCCCCTTCGGATGCGCATGCTTCAGCCAGTGGTACCGCAGGTCCTTCAGCAGGCTCCACCGAGAGCGTCTGGGCCGCTTCCAACCTCGACCCCAACATACAGCAGGAGCTCGAGCAGCTCATGGACGCCCAGGTCAACAGCATCACAGCAGCAGTTGGACGCACCGTGGCATCTTCACAAACTCAGTTCCTTGCAGCCCTTCAGCGACACGAATCGGCCACTACCAGACGCCTTGATGGACAAGAGAATGACCTCATCGCTATCAAATCTGCCCAGGCCAAGCAAGAGTCTCACCATCGTGACCTCTGGGACGCCATCCAGCGCATCAATCAGCAACTCAGTCTTGGGGAAGCAGAGGCACCCATATTGGCCATGGCCAAACTATCAGGCTGGGACCGCGAGCCAGACCCTGCAATCTTCACCTTATCGTGCGCGCAGCCCGCCAACGCAGCCGCTGTCAGAACATCGATAGCAGAATGGTTGGGCGCAGCAGAAGTCGAACCAGCGCAGTACCAGATTCACGGAGAAGGTGCCAATCGCAGATATATCCTTCAGCTCCTTGGATGACGCAAGGTTGCAATGGCTAAATCACTTGCGCTCGCCAGAGCGCTCCAACTTCCAGGCCGCGGTGGATGCAGACAGTTCACAGCTCAGACCCCAGCAGACTGCGTCATCAACAATGGCCAGTACGCCTCGCTCTATGTCAACCCCGACAAAAATATCAAGCGCATCAGAATGGAAACTCAAGCACTATTGGCCCTCTGCCAGCAACACTACCCCTCGCACAGTTTGCGCGCGCGTCGCGATCAAGGGGGGATCTTCTGAAACACCACCCCCGCAGCCAAACTGGAACTCGCTAGCATGGACGCGGCAATGGTTATTCGTTGGAACCAAGATGCGTTGGCCAATGTACCCATCGACAAGGGCACCATCGCTGCAGAATTTGCCGCTCTCTACAAGGCCGAGGATACAGTACAGTGGCTTTCGCAAGAGATGGGCTCCATGGCGATAGTCGACATCGGAATCAGATCAGGCTCGGCCACCAGGATTCCCTGGTGAACCAGAGGCACGCCATCATCCACTTCGCCATTTACGACCTGCCCCTGCACTTGACGACGCCGAACCACAGCTTCATCAATCTGCTCAGCCAGCTGCTGAATGTGCACCCCCACGTCTCCAGGCACCTGCAGCACAGGAGGTGCCTTGTCGACTTCCTCAGGGGGATCGGGACACCCCTGCTGTCCCTGAGGGACTGGAGTGCCCTCCAGATGATATGTCAGTTTCTTCGGGCATGGGGGGCCCGCGCGCTGCTGAACTTCCGCGCCTTCGTGCTCGGGGGGATCGGGACGCCCCAGTTGTCCCCGAGGGGCTGGCGAGCCCTCCAGATATTATTTCGGTTCCCACGGGCATGGGAAGCCCGCGCACTGCTGCCCCCCCAGGCCTTCTTGCCAGCAAGTACTTCAGATGTTCAGGGCATGGGGGGCCCGCCTCTCAGCCGTAACTGCGGTCTGTTGGCGCAGCGCGACCTGCGCCATCCGTCACAAGCACTACTCTTGCCAGAACAAATCGTGTTTCCTTCATTTCCGCGTCACCTTAGAGACGAGGCGGGCTCGGAGCACAGCACCATCACTTCATCAACCTCACCCCCAAGCAGCAGCACCTCATCCCCTAACTCTTCCTCGTCGAGTTCACCTCCAGCACGGCCCTCGCATTCGCGCACCTCACGTGCACCACCTGCAGCAACACCGCAGGACTCTTCGGGGCATTACGTCTGCTGGAACGCACGAGGCCTTCTTTGCCATGGCGATCGCAAACGCTGGGCGAAGATACGACAGCTTACTCCATTTCTGAAGAAGCAATCACTGGTGACAATACAGGAAGTTCACGGATCGCTGTTAGTCCTCCAATCTCACATCGACAAACTCCCTTATCGATATGATGTTTTCTTTGGTGGATCCCCCACCAGCAGAGGCAAGGGCGGTCTGGCCTTCTTGGTTCCAGCGGCAGCCTCCGAGGACACCGCCGTTTCCATGTGGCCCATCATCAGAGGACGTGTGGCAGTGCTATACATTGCTAATCACAGCACGGGCTTCGAGACGCTTCTCATGAACGTGCACGATCATGATTTGATGGCAGCGGACATGGCACATGTGACAGAGGCGCGGCATGCTTCACGAAGGTGGGCAGCTCAATCGCCGCAGCAGCGCGCGTTCATTGCCATGGGCGGCTTCAACACCAGCGCCGTACCCTCCTTCAACTTCAAGGATCCGTCGGCTCGCTGGCGACCGATGGCCCCTGACGGTCAATACCAACGTGAACGAGCACGTTGGCGCCAGCTCTTTGCGTCTCTCACGGAGATCACCCACGACTTGCCCGCGCACTTCTCGGCGAACGCACAGGCTGCGACAGCCATCGATCGCATCTTCATTTCTCTTTCTGGCATCGACCCCACGAATGTCGACGCGCACTTGAATATCCACAAGGACAGAGCTGCACTTTCGGACAAGGGCCTGAGCGACCACGCGATCCTCCACTTGGCGCTTGCAAATGCGACGGCGGCTCGCCCAGAGGAACAGGCCATCGACCCGAACATCTTCCACGACCCCTCGTACCAGGTGCACTTCAACTTCCTGAAGAACAACGTGGCTCCAGCTCATCACACTCCAACTTCTGCATGGCAACAACACAAACTCATCCTCAAAGAGGCTGCTCGTCTTACTCGCAATCTTCAACAGCGCGCTTCTCTTCAGGACCTCAGCCGATGGGCGAAGCACGGGCGGCTGACCACATTGCGGGCCATTGCGCGGCTCTTCTGATGGCGACAACAGAAATTGGACGTGCACACTTGTGCATCACCGCGGGCGGCCCCGAGCTCACGGACAGAGACGCTTTCATCCAGCTGGTGGACACCGCGGTCACTGCCGACTACGATTGCCGCGTCGCCCTCGCCACCAAGCGCCAGCAGAGCCACGCTGCCGAGCAGATGGACCAAGCTGGGGGCCGGCGCGCCGCCACGCAGCTCACCCAGCGAGCCCAGGCGTGGAACCCGTTCAGACGCCGCCTCGTACTTGCAGGACTTAGGACCCCAAAAGAAGGACCCACCGATCCCACCCCCAGTGCCACGAGCGCCCCTCAGGGGATCCCTGAAGGCCTTCAGAAATTCTGGCAGCCCATCTTCTCGCACAAGCATGTGGACCCCGCGGCGGTCCGAGACTATCTGAATGCGCACCTCCCCAAGTTCGAGCATGCGGACCTCAGGGTTCCTGCAGTTCACGATTTCCAGAAGGCCCTCCGTAAGGTTAGACATGCAGCTCCTGGCCCATATCAAGTTCCATATGCAGCATGGGCCATTTCTTCTGGTTCGCCCGAAATCCTTTACGACCTGGCGATGCAGATGTTTGAAACAGGACTGGCGCCCCACCAGTTCAACGACTCCGTCTTCGCCTTTCTCCCGAAAGGAGATGAACCACAGGACCTCTACGCCGTCTTCCGTGCCCCAGGAGCCACTCGCCCCCTCTCCTTAAAGAATTGCGACGCTAAGCTGATCGCGCACGTCGTGAACATGGGCTTGGTAGATATGGTACGGGAGCGTACGATAGACACACAGCAGGTCTTCGTCAAAGGTAGGAACTTTGGACAACATGCGCTGACACTTGATTCTGAGGCCCGTATAGCAGGTCACTCCCCAGTTGCCCGAGATGCCCTCCCGATTCTGGTTAGTTTTGGCATGCAAGCCGCCTTCCCATCTTTGGGATGTTTTTTTTGTTATACTTATTTGCTTTTCTGGTGGCGCACGGTGTCCCCCCCGGACACCTTGGCGCGACTTATGCTTTATACCACGCCCCAGGTGCCTGGGCCCGTGTAGGAGGCCAATTGCAATATATGTTTGAAATCGGTTCTGGAGCGCTCCAAGGGCGCCCGCTCTCTGGGTCCATTTGGGCCTTGGCATTCGACGCCCCCATCCGTCATCCCACCCGCATGTTAGCTTCCCTGCCTGGATCGAATAAGCTCGGAGCCTGCGCAGATGATCTGGGCCTCGTTCTCGCTCTCCTTGGGACCCCCCCGTTCCTCCTTCCTCCTTTTCGGGCTGTAGCCAGCCTCGCAGGACTCGAACTTCAGATCCAGAAGACGGTGATTGTGCCCATATGGGCCCACTTTTCACCTGCAGTGCAGTCTCTAACCCGCCGCTTGCTAGCCTCTCTCACCCCAGAATGGAAAGGCATCCACGTTGCAGCTTACGCCCGCTATTTAGGCGTGCTCATAGGCCCAGGCGTCGCGCTCGACATTCAGTGGAAAGCAGCTTTTGACAAATACTGGCTCCGCGTAGTGCAACTTGCGGCGAGTGCGCCAGGCCCAGCAGTTGCCATCAAATTATACAATACTTGCGTGATCACGGTACTGTCGTACCTCACGCAGTACTTCCCCTTTCCGCCCACGTTTCTAAGACATGAACGCGGCGCGCTTCACAAGATATTGCGCGCTCCCCCCAACTCCTGGCGCCTCGTCGACCTCCTCCTCGGTGCTCGCTCGTGGTCGGCTTCGTCCTCCCCCCACTGCCTTGATCACGCTCTCTCTCTTGCTTCTGCGTGGCGCACTGCCGCCGACACGCTTCCCGACTGGCGCCCGCTCTATCGTGCGTTAGCTTCTGCCCAGGACCAGCTCAATCCAGAACTGCCCCTCGCGTCCCTGGCCGAGGTCCGTATTCGGGCCACCGTTTCTCCGCCGTTTTGGAAGAGCCACGGTATCGTAGAATACTGGCGCGCTCTCGCGGATGGCACGCCACCGTACAAGGTGCCACCCGCCGCGTGGATTCAAGCCAAGCGAGCTGCGGAAGACGAAAAAGCTTCTGCAGCTCGCGACGCGCGGCGTGCAAGGGTCCAGCGTTCTCTCTCCTCTGCCCTCCACGCCTCCCTCTACCCTGACACCTTTGCTGAGACCCTAGCACGCCGCCTCCTCGCTGCGCTGCCCGACCTAACCCTGCCACGCGATCTGTCTGCGCGCTGGCAAGTGCTTGCCAGCCATCTGTCCCGCAAGCCCCCAGCCATTCGCTGGGCAGTTTACAAAACTCTCGCAGGAGCGCGGTGGACGAGCCACCGCTTCCCTTTCGGCCCGCGCAAGACTTGCTTGCTCGGATGTGATGCCTGCCCCGATCGCCTCGGCCATTACCTCACCTGTCCCCGCCTCCTGCACTTCCTTGCGTTACCTCGCTCCTTCCTTTCCCCTGACCCACTCGTCCGCATCGGCCTTGGCACGGAAGAGCAGCCCACCAGGCCTGAGCACTCTATACCTGAAGCCGTTCGAAGAACGGCACTGTCCTTTCATTTCTATAACAAATTGCATATCATTACGCACGCCGCGCCGAGCGCCGCGCTTCTTTACACTACAGGCACCGAGTGCCTAGCAACTGCACAGCACGCGATGCTGTCATAGACAGAGACAAGCGGACGCGCGGACACTTGCCCTCTTCTCGCGTTTTGCCCGATTGCCCTCGTCTCGTCCTTTCTTGGTACGGTCGTTCCTCCTCCTCCTCCTCCTCCTGCTCCTGCTCTCCCCCTCCCCTTTCCTATCCTCTCATCTCCTCTCCTCTCCTCTCCTCTCTCTCCTCTCCTCTCCTCTTCGCTCCTCTCCGTTCCTTTCCCTCCTCCTCCTCCTCCTCCTCCTCCTTTTCCTCCTCCTCCTCCTCCTCCTCCTCCTCCTCCTTTTCCTCCTCCTCCTCCTCCTCCTCCTCTCCTGTTCCCCCTCCTCCTCCTCCTCCTCCTCCTCCTCATCATCATCATCATCCTCCCCCTCCTCCTCGCTCCCGCTGCCCCCCACTCCCTGCTCCTCTCCCTCCTCCTCGCTCCCCCCCTCCCTTCCCTGCAGGCCCCCGGGGCTCCAGGACCCGTCACCGTCCTCGACTTTCTTTCCCGCCGAGGCGCCGCTGGGCGGCCTTTGGGCCCTTTTCCTCCTCCTCCTCCTCCTCCTCCTCCTCCTCCTCCTCCTCCTCCTTTTTCTCCTCCTGCTCCTCCTCGCTCCCCGCTCCCCCCCCGCTCCCTGCTCCTCTCCTCCTCCTCCTCGCTCCCGTTTCCGCAGGGCCCGTCGCTCCTTCCCACCGAGGCGCCGCTGCGGCGGCCTGGGACCTCCCCCGCGGCCGCCCGCCCCGCGCGGGCGAGGGCGCCTGGCCCTCGGAGGCCTCGGGCGGCGGCGAGGCGAGCTGCACGACCGCGTCGGGCGGGCAGGGCTGCGACAGCGCCGAGGCGGGCCAGCCACGGCCGGGGGGAGCCGTGGTCCCTCGGATCCGGCGCCGAGGCTCACGAGCAGGGAGGAGGTGTCAGACGAAAAGGTGCACCGAAAACTTGTAGCCTTTCCTCGCGTTCTCATGTCTGGGCCTCCTCGGAGGCCCTCGTCGCCACCGCTGGGTCCGCCTCGAAATCCTTTTCGGAGTGGCGGTATCGGTATCGGTACATGTTGGCTTCGGTATGGGTACATTTTGGCTTCCCCAGAACTGGCGCGGGAAGAAAGGCTTGACTCACACCACGGCGGTTGAGTACCACGTTGGGAGACATTATAGACGGCAGGTTTGCCCAGCTTCTGTCCCTGACCCAGGCGGGTGGTGTTTTCCCTGGGCGTGGAACTCAGCCGCCGTGGTGTGAGTCAAGTCTTTCTTCCCGCGCCACTTCTCTTTGCTCATGATCCTCGGCGCCGGAGTCTCTGCCCCAGGGGTCGGGCGAGGAGATCTATACATACAGTGGGGAAGCACATCAAGAAACCAAATGATTTTTGTCAGGGTACCCTCGGTGTCTTCGATCCGCGCGTCGCGCAGCGACTCCCAGCGGCCGTTGAAGGAGCTGCTGCATTCGGGGTGCTCTGGGTTCCACCCCCAACGGTTTGCATCTCGCTCTCGGTGGTTTCAGGGTTGGGTTTCTTTCGAGAGAGTTTCTTCGGCCGCGCCCGTACTGTATCCACAGCCCGCTGACCAGGCACTTCCTGCGCCCAGGAGCTGCGTATGCGCCCTCCCTGGCCGAGCCAGGAGGGCGTGGCGTATACACCGCTGCTGGGTTGAGGATTGGTCTGGCCAGGGAGCAGAGGATAGGTATAGATTTCATCGCTCTGTGGGGGGCGCATCGACTTCGACACGCCTGGTCAGGTGCAACGTAGGCGGGTGGTAGGATCAGGGGGGATGCATCGATCTCCAATCGCCCATTCATCGCGAGAGGGGTCGCTGGCCCACCCCGCCCAGGAACGTGCGGTTCTGCAAGCGGGGGCCCATCGCCAATCCGTCGACGATGTATCGCCGATTCAGGCTCGATGTCGCCCCCCCAGCCAAGCCCCCCCCCTCCCCTTGTCGTGGCCCCTCACACCTCCAGAGGTCGATCCTTCACCTCACCTCACTTCTTCCGATGGGTCCCCGTCGAGGTGGTAAGGAGCACGGCCCCCCAGTTGTGGCCGGCCGGCGAGGGGGGCGACAGCCAGGATGGTCTGGGCGATTCTTCGGAAGACGCCCAGGATTCGGACGATGACCGTCAGGCCGGCGGTGCAGCCTTTCTGCCGTCGGCGGACCTGTTGGGCAGGCTCCGGTGCTACGGTTATTTCGTCGCCCTGCGCGCTCCGCCGCCCCGCTCAAGAAGCGACGCAGCAAACGAGCACACGATCACAAGTGCGGCGTGACAGGATGACCATGATTGGTAATGAGTCGCCGAATCGGCCCCGACGTGATCAAGACAAGTGAGATCAGCATCAAACGAGACACCGCCATTCGATGGCCAGAAGGACGAGTTTTTATTTCACACGAATGTAGCGAATGTTTGCCATCAAGGACCCCAGACAGCAAGTGATTCCAGTGTGGATGTGTATGCTATATTGTGCAAGCTGTGCGATACAAGCTACGTGGTTCAAACTATGTGGGGCAAGTCGGCTATGTGTTGTAAGCTATGCGTTGCAAGTTCTACGGTGCAAAACGTTGTGGTGACAGGCATGTGGTGAGAGCCATGTGGTGTAAGCTATGCGGTGCAAAATATGTATTGTAAGTGGTGTCGTGCAAGGTGTGTAGTTTAAACTATGTGATGCAACCTACGTGGCGTATGCATGCCATGTGGTGAGAGAGCTTTGTGGTGCAAGATGTGTGGTGCAATCTATGCAGTGCAAGCTATTCGGTGGAAGCTATGCGACTCTGGGGGCCGATTTTGGGGCTGCCGTTGTGTCACCTCGCCCTCCTCCGAGAAAGGCCCACACCGTGAACCATGAAGAAACTGGTGCTGCGCCTCTTTCCGGGACTCCCGCGGGTCGTTGGGAGCTTCTCGGGGCTCGCACGTGCCTCTTGGGGCGATCCTGGGCCGTCTCCGGTGTCTGCTCTGCTCAGATTGGGGCTCCTTCGGGGTGCGAGGTCGTGTGAAGCCGTCTAGGGAGGCTTCAATGAGCCTCCTGGGGTCTCTTGGCTGCCCCCTGCGTTTGCAGGATCGATTGTGGCCGTCTTTGGGGCATTTGGTGGTGTTGTGCGTCATCTGAGAGGTATCTAGGGCGCGTTGGGGTGATTATCTGGGTTGTCGAATGGGTATCCTGGGCCATCTTGGAGGCTTCTAAGGGCCTTTGGGAGCATCTTGAGAAGAAGTGGTGACGGAAATATCCCCCAATGGTGGAGCATCTCGGAGGCCAACGTCTGGAAAAAACATGTTCAAATGTTGTATTGATTGTGCGGATGGACTTCTTCGGTCGCAGACACGGGAAAGGGCGGCCAGCAATTTCCAGCAGGCTGTCCCACTTTCAGCGGGGTGCAGGAAGGGTAAATTCCTTTCCTGGGGACTGGGAGGGATTCAGGTAATGTAATGCCACTGCTCTGTGTTGGATGCGAGTTTGGATATGTTCTGGACTGCGAGCCGTCTCAAGCGAAAACAACGTCCAAACAATGGCAGTTGTTTTTGTTTCGTTTGATCCCCATGTGCACATCAAAAAGGCGTGTGCGAGCTCATTGCGCAATACGCGTGTCATTAGTGTGTCATACACAAGCTTGTCTTTTAGCATAATGATGTGATGGACCGATCCGGACTGCCCAAGTAACATACGCAATGTAGTAGTGCACATGTGTTGGATTCACAAGCTATTTGGAACGCAAGGGTTGGCCCAATGCAGAAGACGAGATACCATCAAAGGAAGCGATGCGTTGTCCTTCACAACGGTCTTGCAAGCATTTGTGAAGAGTTAATGTGTGAAGAGATATTGTGGGTATGCACCAGCTTGGAGTAAGACAAGGAACATTTTCGCGATGCGAATTTGATGGCATCTGGCCAGAAAGTACTGCGCCCCCTGTGTGTCCAGGAAGGCTTTCGCTCAGGATGCAGGAGCATGGCATGAGCAGCCGGCCGTTCCCGTGGCCCGCATAAGAGTCAACGCCCGCATACACGTGGACGGCCATACGCACTACGTGATCGAGTCACAGCTCGCGCGGCTCGGAGAGGGCAAGGCTCCCCTTGCATGGTCCACCCGGATGCGGCTGAAGCAGCTGCGTCAGGAGCCGCCTCTCCCTCTTTCTTGAGGGGAGGGAAGGGGAGGAGGAGGAGGAGGAGGAGGAGGAGGAGGAGGAGGAGGAGAGGAGGAGGAGGAGGAGGAGGAGGAGGAGGAGGAGGAGGAGGAGGAGGAGGAGGAGGAGGAGGAGGCGGGAGGAGGGAGGGATGGGGAGGAGGAGGAGGAGGAGGAGGAGGAGGAGGTGGCAGAGGCCCAGACCTCTGATGGCGTGGCCTCGCATTGTTTTCGCGGCACGCCTCCCTGGAGCTTCCAGGTCCCAGGGTCGCTTTGCTTCGGTCCCAGGGTTCGAAACGACTTTCGGAGCCCTACCAGGCGCCATCTTGATTTGAGTCCCGAGCCGCATCCGGCCGCGGCGACCCAGGGGGCTCCCGAAGGCCAAGAGGGGAAGAAGAGGATGGAGAGGCAAGGACGGAGCGAGGAGGAGATAGGAGGGGTGAGACGAGGGGAAGACTCTTGTCCTCCTCCTCATCCTCCTCCTCTACTCCTTTCCCTTTAAAAATTATAAATATATATAATTTTGTATAATTATAATTATTCATAGTTATATATATATATATATATATAACTATGTACAAGTGGCACGTGTGTGCCCTGGCTCATACAAAAAACTGAAAGGGCGCTGGAAGCAGGAAGACACCATGACGGCGGGATCGAAGATGGAAGAGGGGAAGCTGGGGCGGCGCCGCCAGGGCGTGCCTAAGGGAAGGGGAAGAGGCAGGAGGTGAACGCAGAATGATGTAAGATCGAGTAAGAGCCCCCCCAAAAGGATTCGGAATCGAGCAGGAGGATCGACGAGGGCAATGCCTCGCGAGGTCAGCGTTGCGAGGATGTTTCAGGATGCCCCACCAGTCAATTTGTTTCACCAGACAATTTGTGGAGGGAAAGAGAAGGAGAAGGAGATGAGGAGGATAGCTGCTGGGAGTGAAATGAAATAGCGAGATCGCACTCGAGCGCAAGTCAGGTTGCCACACCTTGCGATGTGCGCACCAGGGCGCCCCACAGAAAGCCTCAGGAGGCCCGAATTGGATACCGGAAAAGGCTCCAGGAGGCCCCTGGATTGTGAATGTTGTGTGGGAGTGTGTGTGTGTGTGTGTGCGTGTGTGTGTGTGATGTGTGCTCTGTGTTGTGCGTGCTTCCTGTGCGTAGTAGGTGTTGTGTGTGTGTGTGTTTGTGTATGTTATATTGCCTCAGGAGGCCCCAGGCGGCATCAGGATGCCCCAGGAGACCCCAGGAGGCTCCAGGAGGCCCCAAGAAACTACAGGAGGTTGCAGGAGGCCTCAGGAGGCCCCAGGAGGTTCCACGAGACCCCCAGGAGGCTCCGAGGCGGGGTCTGGGGTACCAGAAGGCACAGAAAACCCCAGGAGGCTCTGCGGCGGGCTCTGGGGTACCAAAAGGTACGTCGGGGCTCGATTTTGGGAGGATGTCTCAGGCGAAACCGCCATTCTTTGAGAATCGGGGCCAAAATCATTGAAATTACAAGATGTTTTTTGAAGGTTTGATGTTACATGTTGAAATTCTCATGTGCTTTTGAACCCTGACGTCACGATCGGTGTGAGGGGTGCCACCGGTTATCAGAATTTCGAGGATGTCCCTGGCGAAACGGCCAAACAGATTGCGAACGACGCGGCGCGTATGCACCAATCGCCTCTGAGCTTTACTCCTTCGGAGAGGCGCCAATCATCCGAGTGGGATCATGGGACGCTCCTGCAGTCTCTTTTGGTCCAAGCCCGCTGATGCAGTGGGCTGCCGATCAGCTGGGGGGATTGGCGCCAGCAGTGGTCGGAGCCACGATAGGGCGGCACACCTCGGGCGGTTTGACCACTTGCACCTGCCACTTTGACTCGAGGCCCCTGGACGAGGGGTTGCTGGCGATCCCGCGGGCACAGCAGGACCGCTGTGGGCCCGACCGCCTGCACCGCCCGCCCGCGCCGCAGTGCGGGCCGTCGGTCGGCGGCCTGCTGGTCGCCGCGGGGTTGGGCCTGTTGCTGGGCGTGGCGTGCACGCTGGGGCTGCAGGCGGCGCTGGCGGGCCGCACGAGGACCGTGGCGGCCCCTCCCGCGACCGCTCAGCCTGTGGTGGAGGCCGCAGGACTGACACCTACGACGCTCCGTCGACTGCGTGATGGCGACCACGCTTGACACAGACATCATCCAGATTTTGGTTGATTACCCCGACGACCCGAACATCACATGGCACCACAGGCTACTGTTGTACGAGCTTGGGCCAGGGCGGTGGGTGTGCGCGACGCCCGACTTCTCGGTCCAACTCCTGGACCTGACGGGCCATCGCGTGCTGCCTCTAGCCCGCTCGGCGCCGTGGCCGGCGCAGGTGCGCGGGAACGTGTATTGCTTCGACCTTCTCACGGTCGACCAGCGGGACGACCTCTTCCTATGAGGCGGCCAGCTGGCCCGAGTGCTCGGACATCAGCCCGCTGCCGGAGCCGTCGGAGCTGCGGCAGACCGGCGCTGGCGCGTCGCAGACACAGGTCACGAGCAGCTCAACGAAGTGATCGCGGACGGGTTTATGATTGGTGACCGTGCCGTGGTGAAGGGCGACGTTGGGCTCTACTGTATCGACTTGGCGGTAGGCGAGTGGGTCGCGGTTCAGAGAGTGAAGGACCGCGACTTGGACGATTGGTCAGAGCGCAAGCGGAGCGGCCCATGGCGAGACCTCCGCATACTGCCTGTGCACCGCGACGCGGGAGGCAAGCGGGCGATGATGCTGCGAGAGACGACGAACCTCGCATCCGATCCCAAGTTCGCGGACTGGCCGTTCGAGGGGCCCTCAGCGGCCCTGGAGGTCATCACGGACGCGGCGGCGGCCGGGCTCGAGCTGCACCTCTACCCGACGTGGTGGAAGAGCAAGAGCGGGGTGAACCCGCAGGGCAGCGTCGCGAGGGAGGTCAGGCTCGGCTTCGATTACCTGAGGATGACGCAGTTATACGACCAGCTGTGCCTGCAGGCGCTGGCGTCGGCGGAGCTCATCTGCCGGCGCATCATCGCGCGCCAGCGGGCGGTTCGGAGAAACCCGAAGGCGCCGGACTTCGCCGGGCTAGAGAAGTTCGCGCAGTCGAACTTCGACGAGTCAGGGGGGCTCAGAGCCAGGGAGTTCGACCAGTACATGGCCGAGCAGCAGAAGACCAGCGCGACGGTGCTCAAGAGCCTCAGGCAGGACCTAGAGGAGCAGGAGAACGAGAAGAAGAGGCAGGCCGGCCGCTCGGGCGGCGGCAAGCCGGGCAAGGACAACTGGGACGGGGGGGCGCGGCCGCGCTCCGATCGGCATCGCGGGGTCTGAGCACCGCGGCCGCGCCCCCGACCTCGAGGCCAGCGGCCTCGCATGGCCGCGAAGTCTTGACGTCGCCTGGCGACTCGTTCCCCTTGCCGCTGCACGCGTTCGATTGCATCGGGGGCGAGGGTGGTCGGGCGGTTCCTAGCCGCCTCCCGACTCGAACTCGAGCTGGAGATGAGCCTTCGGCAGCGGCGCTGGTCGCGGACGCGGTCACGGCGCTGAACAGCATGTCTGCCTCTCGTGTCGGTCGGCCGCTGCAGCTGCGGCGGCCGAGGCCTACCAGGCAAGTGGCAACGTCGGCTCAGCAGTCGATCTTGGGCCGCGTCGCGGAGCGGGTGGACGACCAGTTTCCTGCCCCTCCAGATGATGACTTCTCAAGCGCACTTCCGGGCCCCCTGAAGTGCTCTGACCTGCGCCTGACGAGCGACGCCGCCAGCCGGGCCCCGATCCAGCTGGAGCGACTCAAGATCTTGAAGAATGATACGGTCCCCAAGGAGGCGCTGGGCGTCGTCGGCGCTGATGCGCACCGACTTCTGGCTGACCCTTGGCGGCGCGTCGAGCGGCGGCCCGAGCAGGTGGGGGCTGGCGGGCCCGCGCCGCGACCCTACGCTGATCCGCGCTTTCGACAGCGCCGCAAGTCGTTGAAGGAGCTTGTCATGACACTTCACCGCGGCAACCTCGTAGTGCACAGACGCTCAGTGAAGGCCTTTCTCGGGCTCTTCACGGTCATCAAGAAGGACGGCCGGTGGCAGCGGCTTATCGTGGACGCCCGTGCCCCCAACCATTGGCACAGGCGGCCGCCGCACTCTTACCTGGCGACGCCCGGCGACGCGCCCGCCCTGGACCTCAGCGACGAGGCGTTGGAGCCGGGAGCGGCTTCCTCTCGGGGCGGACGAAAGGGGGGGATTGGGAAAGGGCGGGTTGCGAAATTTGCCGCACGCAGCTGATTTCGGCCTCGCCCAGGGGCCCATTCCTCGATGCATGGCCGCCTCTGGCGCCGGGAGGCGCCGGGAACATCAGCTGCGTGAGCTGATTCTCACCCCCCCCTTTGCTATCCCCCCCTTTCGCCCGACCCGATCCTCCTTGGAGCTGTGCGGGGCCGCGGTCGACCTCCAGGACGGCTTCTACCAGCTGTGCTTCAAGGTGATGAGCGACTGGCTCGGCATCGACTGCCGCATGACCGCGGCAGAGGCGGGCATCTCCGAGGTGCGCGACGTCGTCGACCGGAGGGGCACCTGGGTGCCGGTCGCGGCGGAGGATGCTGTGTGGCCTTGCTTCTGCGGCGTGCCCATGGGTTGGGCGTGGGCCCTGTTCATCTGCCACTCCGCGCTTACCGACGCGATGGTGGAGTCGTTCGTCCGTGTGCGAAGCGACTGGGCGCTAGCCGAGGCTCAGCTGCTGCGCGACGGGCGACCTGCGTCCCGGCTGGCCAAGGGGCAGCCCATCGCCGCGCTGTGCGTGGATAACTCTGTTTCGACCGCGAGGATGCGGGCATCTTCTACGAGTCCATGGTTGCTGTCCTGAGCGAGCGGGGCTTCACTCTGCGGGACAACGTGGAGTGCGACCCGAACTTAGACATGGTGGGCTTCGAGCTCCAGGGCGCTAAGTTCTCATGGCGTCAGCGGCGGTCGCGGTTCTGGCGGCTGTGGCATGCGCTGCGGCAGCTGGAGTTACGGCCCGGCTGCACAGGTAAAGTGACG